TTCAACATGTTCAGCTTACCAAAGACTTATGGGAGAACAAGGCAGCGAGCAGCAGAATTCAAAAATGCAAAAAATATGGAACACATCAATCCCCAGCAAAATCTCAGCATTCTCATGGCAAATGCTTCAGGATAAAATTCCAACAAAGGTAAACCTTTTAAAAAGAGGTATTATAAAAGAGATTTAGGAGTGTAAGTGTGACCTTTGTGGGATGACATATGAGGATACCAGCCACATCTTTATTCACTGTGAAGTATCTTATAGAGTGTGGAATGCCTGTTATAAATGGTGGGGTATCAAGATAGTACTCGACAATGACTGCTGGAAGGTGTTTGAACAGCATGGCAACATGGTGAAAACAGAGAAGGAAAAGGAAGGATGGGAGTGCATATGGTTTGCCACAATATGGACAATATGGCTAACAAGAAACGGGAGGGTATTCAAAGGAAAGGAAACAGACAGAAGGAAAATGCTAGAGCTGGTGCAACTTAAGTCCTTCAACTGGTTGAAAGATAAAAGAGGAGGTTGCTTATTCTCACTATCTGATTGGCTACAAGATCCGGCAAGCTGTCTAAAACTTAACTATGAAGGCAGAAGGAGAAGCAAAGAAAATACAGCCATCAGGTAGAAATAGGAGCAGATGGATAGGAGCCACCACAACATCAAGGAAGGATATGAGGAGGTTAATTGAAGAATACAAGCATGCTGCAAACAGTTGGAAGGTACTAGAAATGCAACTAACGAAACCCAGAGCCATAAATATCAACAAGGGAGGTTATGGTATTCTGGAAGGGCTGACCAAACCCGACACCGTCGTGGTGTCGACACTTTATTAGGGTGTCGACAGCAAACGGAAGAATTGAGCCCCAAATCTCCGACATGGACATGGTGTCGACACATAATACAGGTGTCAACACCGAACGGAAGGGCTAATTGAATGTGTAACTCTTTGCCTTTCAAACTAATATGTTTACGGGTTTGGGGTGCCCCTTGTACTCCGTATCAATAAATATTACTTTTGCTTTTCAAAAAAAAAAATTTTTTTTTTTCAAGTGATTACAAATATTAATGAGCTTTCAATTAAAATATCAAATCTAATTGTTCAATTAATAAAATATAAATTATACAAAAAATTACAATTAATGTAAATTTTTTTCATACCTAAATAAAATTATTTCTTAAAAATTGATTACAAAGAAAGAATTGGTCCTTTTACATAACTCCTAAATATTTTCTTTAAATTAAAAAAGGTCCTTAAAATTCAAACATCAAAAATAAATTTTTTACTAATTAAAAATTAATGTACTAGATTAAACATTTTTCAAAAGTTTGGGGGGCGGCTGCCCCCCATGTCCTATGGTAGCTCTGTGCCTGTAGACAAGCACGTTAACGGCTATACAAACTCTCACATTTTGAAGGACCATATTGTATGGCTACGGGTATATCCTGTTACTTTGTGAATAAGGGGTGCAATCTGTTCCGTTTTATGATTCCTCATTCATGTATATATGTAGAATTACGAATGTGCATCCTCGATTGTATTCACGAAAGAATTATTTGATATAATATATAAATGAACAGCTATTTCCGTATTCATATTCTTTTGTTCTTCATCTGTTTTAGGTGTTGATCAAACAAATAAACAACATCCATATTCACCCTCTGTTTCAATGAATTATATTCTTAGATGAACGATCAATATCCGCCATGGTATGATATTGGTATGTGCTTTTTCTAAGTTGAACAACGTTGTATGACAATCTTTCACGAAAATAAAGGTTGCATGTCGATGAATTGTAATGACAAGAAGAAATTATGGCCAATGAAAAAATGATTGGAAACCAACCGGGGTTGTTTTGCAAAACATAAAAGTTTACTTTTAAGTAAATATTTCTTTAACAAATTAAATTTTTTTTTTTTAGATTTGTTAAAGAGAAAATAAAAACAAAAAAGAATTAACTTAGTATCTTATAAGTATAAGGCCAAGAAAAAAATGTTTTATAAATAAATTTTGAGAAAACTACATATTATAACAATTCACTTTAAAGTGAACGATCTACTATTTGCTTGACTATCGGTAAAATCACGTGAGAAATGAGAAGTGAGAAATAACCATGGAAAACGACTTGATTAATTTCAAAGTTTGTTGCTCAACGTTTACATGAAATTTCTACTTCTATAAATATGCAACCATACATTGGAGGATGATGCATAAGGTCTAAGCTAGGTAGTTTGAATCTTCAATATTGTGCAGTAGCTTCTCCCAATTTAAGAACGCAAAAAATGTTTGTTCAAGAAGTGAACACATTTATTGTAAATATTTTATATCTTATTCTCCTTGTAAACACCTATATATAGATCATTGTACACACGGCATTATTCAAGAAAGCAATAAACCTTTCTTCAGATATTTCTCCTTCTTTTCAGTCTCTAACATGGTATTAGAGCTATAAACTCCTGGTTATTTTTTTTTAATCATCATTGTTTGGTTTATGAGTTGGTTTTTCAGATCTATTCTGGATCTGAAGCTTTGTCGTTGGGTTCTCTTCTCTTACAAATTGGATTGTTTATTCTCAGGCACAATCTGAGAGATTTTTCTAGTATTGTGAGTTCTATTGATTCTATGGCGAGTTTTGAAAGAACTGTGACTCATCCTGCTGCTACAATGGTTGCCAAAGAGGTGATAGACCAACCTATTGTCAACCTTGAATCTATAAAACGGGTGATATTAAATCTTTTTAATGCTCCTACTGCCTTATCTATTGCTCCAGGTACTAAACCTTGGTATTTTGATTCCGATTGTTGTAATCACATGTCTTCAACTACTGCTCATTTCTCTTCAATGTCACCAAATAATTCCTTTCTTGACATTTGTTATGTTGAAAGCTCCTCTATGAATGTTAGTCACATTTGCAATATTTCTACAAATTCATTGACTTTACCAAACACTTTTTTGGTTCCGAAACTTAGTTATAATCTTTTATCTATTGGTCAATTGTGTGATTTTCGTCTTGAAGTAACATTTTCTACTCATGGTTTTCGTGTGTGGGATCCACAAATAGGACAACTTCTTGGAACTGGTTGCAAGGTGTGGCATCTGTTTGAGCTCAATTATCTGCACATTCCTCATCATAAAATGGAAACACCATCATTTCCAAATGATCGATTCATCCAAACCCTACTTTGTGCTGTTGAATTAGAGTATTTGCAAATTCCATATCAACAAATCTTCCAAGCTTGTGCTGCTACTAACATTTCTCCTCTTCATTTATGGTACTCACGACTCGAACACATCTCAATTAGTAAACTCCATCCTCTTATCTCTCGTGGTTTATTAGGGTCTGTTCCGAATGAATCTTTACATTGTGTGTCATGTTAATCTGCAGAACAACCAGCTTTATTTTTTTCTAGTAATCATTCTCTTTTTGTTGCCTCTTTTGATTTCGTGCATTTTGATGTTTGAGGTTCATCTTCGATACCTACCATGGGGGGTTCTAGGTACTTTGTGTTATTTATTGATGATCATACTCGTTTTATTTGGATATATCTTATGAAAAATCACTCTGAGTTATCACAAATTTATATTTGATTTTGCTACCATGGTCAAAACCTAGTTCTATAAAATTATCAAAGTTTTGAGGACTAACAATGCCATTGAATATCTTAGTACTAAACTTCAATCCTTTATGAAAGAACAGGGTACATTGGCGCAACAATCTTGTCCTTACACTTTTGAATAGAACAGGCGAGTGGAACGTAAACACAGACACATCCTTGATTCTGTTCATGCTCTGCTCATTTCGTCTTCTTGTCCAGAGCGATTTTGGGGTGAAGTTGCTCTTACAATTGTTTATCTCATTAATCGGATTCAATCATCAGTCATCAATAATAAGTCTCCATACGAATGTTTACATGGTATTCCTCCTGGCTATGATCTTCTTAAGGTTTTTGGTTGTGCTTGTTTTGTTCTTCTTCCACCTCATGAATATAACAAGCTAGAGCCTAAAACTCGATTATGTTGTTTTTTGGGTTATGGGATTACACATAAAGGATATCGTTGTTGGGATTCTGTGTCACGAAAACTTCGAGTCTCATGTTATGTTGTCTTTTGGGAACACACTATGTTTTCCTCGTTATCAAACTTCCAAGTGTCATCTTTTGATCAACCTCCACTTTTTATTAACCCTTATATTGAGCTATTTTGTAGTGACTCTGATGCAGATACATTTGATGAGCTCCATGATGTCTCTCCACATGCTCCACCTAGTTCTATAGAAGATGCTCTGTCTGCTGGTAATGCATTAGGCAATGGTGAGCCTTCTTCCCTTCCCTCTTCTGTATCACATATTGGATCTAGCCCTGTTGAGCCCGAAAATGATATCCTTAATCCACCTTCAAGTTGTCCTACTTGGGTAAGTAATCCTCTTAACTATCTTCATGACTATCATTGTTTTCCTACTATTACCTCTTTACATGAGTCTCAATCCTATCAAGAGGTCTTTTCTAACCTTCTTTGGCAGCAAGCTATGCAAGATAAATTACAAGCTCTTAAGAAAACTTGTACATGAGATTTAGTTGATCTTCTTGCTGGAAAGCCTCTGGTAGGTTGTAAATGGGTGTACAAGATCAAAACTCGATCTGATGGTTTTGTGGAGTGTTACAAGGCTTGTTTGGTTGCTAAAGGATTTACTCAAGAATATGGGATTGATTATGAGGAAACCTTTGCACCTGTTGCTCATCCTACTTCAGTTCATAGTTTGATTGCTATTGCTGCTACAAAAGGATGGAAATTGTTTCAGATGGACGTGAAAAATGCCTTCCTAAATGGTGATCTTACAGAGGAAGTTTACATGCAACCACCTCCTGGACTTGAGCATCCTCCAAACAAAGTTTGTCAATTGAAGTGAACTCTATATGGTTTGAAACAAGCACCTCAAGCTTGATTTGCCAAGTTTAGCACCACCATCAGTGAATTTGGTTTTAGTTCTAGTCCTCATGATACTGCGTTGTTCATACGTAAGACTAATCATGGTATGGTTCTATTACTTCTTTATGTAGATGATATGATCATTATTGGGGATGATATTTCAAGTATTCATGATCTTAAGCAATTTCTCAATCATAAGTTTGAGATGAAAGATCTTGGTGTTTTGAGTTATTTCTTGGGACTTGAGGTCACTTCTTCTAATGATGGTTATCTTTTCTCTCAAACAAAATATGCCTCTGATCTTATATCTAAAGCTGGACTCACTGACAGTAAGACTGCACCTACTCCTTTTGAGCCAAATGTTTGACTTACATCTATGGATGGTTCTCCATTAGCTGATCCTACTTGCTATAGACAATTGGTTGGAAGTTTGATTTATCTCACTACAACTCGATTAGACATAGCTTATGCAGTTCATGTTGTTAGCCAATTTATGGCTACACCTTACTCCATTTACTATGCAGCAATACTTCACATTATTCGCTATATTAAAGGTACCATTTTTCATGGACTTTACTTTTCTACTCATTCATCTTTTGAACTTTGTGCTTACTCTAATGTTGATTGGGTTGGAGACTCTGATGATTGTAAATCAACCACTGGCTATTGTCTTTTTTTTGGGGATTCCTTAATCTCTTAGCGTAGCAAGAAAAAGACAGTTCCATCACGTTCTAGCACAGAGGTCGAATATCGAGCACTTGGAGACACCACATCAGAGTTACTTAACTTATGTTGGTTACTAAAAGATATGGGTGTTTCTCAACTGCCTGCCACTAATCTTTATTGTGACAATTAGAGTGCCATGCAGATTGCTCATAATGATGTCTTCCACGAACGTACTAAACACATTGAGGTCGATTGTCACTTTATTCATCATCATGTTGCACAAGAAACTATTCATTTGGTTTTCATTGGCTCCACTGATCAACCAACGGACCTTTTCACCAAGACTCATTTTCTTGGATGCTTTTGTACTCTACTTTCCAAACTCAAGTTGGTTTCATCACAACCACCTTGAGTTTGAGGGGAGATATTAAGATGTGAACACGTTTATTGTAAATATTTTATACTTTATAATATTCTGTTTATATGTTTTATACCTTAGAATATTCTCTTTGTAAACACCTATATATAGGTCATTATATATATAGCATTATTCAAGAAAGTAATAAACCTTTTTTTAGATATTTCTCCTTCTTTTCAGTTTCTAACAAGCATCAATGCCAGCCCCTCCATCTCAAAACTCCAAACCTGAAATTAATCGTCGATCTGCCGGTTTTCATCCCAGCATCTGGGGTGCTCATTTTCTCTCATATGCCTCAAACAATATCATGGTAATTTTGTTATATACGTAATTGGTAAAACCAATTTAGACCAGGTTTCTGAATATGCTTTGAGTTAGCCGTTTCTTTTTTCATTTTTTTTATCACCTCAATTTAGGCATCCCTGCCTTTGCTAACCAAAGGAAGGGTTCCTGCGAGTTTTTTTATGCCAACAATTTTTAACTTGTCCAGGAAAGTGAGGAAGGGAAAAGGGAGCATTTAAAGCTGAAGGAGGAACTCAAGGAGAAGCTGATGGCTGTGGTTGATGCGCCATCGAAGAAACTTGAATTGATTGACGCAATACAAAGGTTGGGCGTGTCATACCATTTCCACAAAGAGATTGATGAAATCTTGGGACAAATAATGCAGGTGATGAACCAAAGTGATTTTAAGGCTGGTTCCAGTGAGGATGATGAACTTTATACCATTTCCCTAACATTTCGTTTACTTCGGCAACATGGTTATAGAATTTCATGCGGTAAAAATTAAACACCGTTTTTCCATTCCATCTATTGTTCTTTAAGTTATCAACAGAAAACTTTCCACAAAAATGTGTTCAACAAAATTAACATGGTTTGAGAATATAATACGTACATATTGGGTTGCTGAAGCAGAAATGTTTAAAAAGTTCAAGGACAAGGAAGGGAACTTCAAGGAATCCCTAATTGATGATGTTAAAGGAATGTTAAGCTTGTACGAGGCTACGCATCTAAGGGTACATGGAGAAGATATTTTGGATCAAGCGTTGTCTTTCACTACCACCCACCTTGGTTCAATGGCCACAAGCTTAAGCAACCCTTCTCTTGCAGCTCAAGTAACAAATGCTTTACACCAACCCGTCCACACAGGCATGCCTAGGCTTGAGGCTAGACGATTCATTCCTGTATACCAAGCCGATCCTTCTCATGTCAAAACATTATTAAGTTTTGCAAGGTTGGATTTCAATATGTTACAAAGACTGCACCAGAAGGAAATCAGTGATATTGCCAAGTAAGTATTAATGAATTTATAGAAAAATTATCTATGTATTTGGTGAGATAATCTAAATGGGTTGAATTTCGAACTATGTTGTGTTTCAGGTGGTGGAAAGATTTAGACTTCTCCACAAAGCTACCTTTTGCCCGAGATAGATTGATAGAATGTTACTTTTGGATATTGGGGTTGTACTCTGAGCCAGAGCATATATTGGCTCGAAGGTTTTCAACCAAAATCATTATATTTGCTTCTGTTATTGATGACATTTATGATGTCTATGGCACGCTTGATGAACTTGAACTCCTTACCGAAGCAATTCAAAGGTTTAATTTGCTTTAAGCTACCTGCCTTTATTACCTTTTCCTAACTCCTATGTTTAAATTTTAAGAACACTTGAAATTAATTTAAGGGGTTAGTATGTATCAGTCTGATTTAAAAAAAAAAAAATAGAGTTTTAACTTATATTTAAAAATTAAAATTTTAATTTAAAATTAAAATGTTTGTTTTATTAAATATTAATATATAAATTTGAAAATCAATTATATATTTCAATATAATTAATTTTTAAATTTAATTATTAATATTTTATAAGATAAATTTTTAAATTTTTAATTAAGTTTTAATTAAATAAAATGATATAATTTAAAATTGAACTTTAATTTATTTTTAAAAATTGATTAGAATTGATTTGCATTTTTTCCTTAATTTAAATAGTAATTCTATTGTAATTTACGTATTGGGTTACCTTAATTTCAGGTGGGATATAAATGCAATAGATCAAATGCCTGAATACATGCAAATATATTTTCGGGCCTTTTTAGATATTTACCGTGAAATTGAAGAACGAATGGCGGCACAAGGGAAATTATACCGCGTCCATAATGCAAAAGAAGCTGTAAGCTCCCCTGGTCGCATGCTTTATTTTATTTTGGCCCAAACATCTATATATCAGATGCAATTCTCATACTCCTTTATTTCCAACTCAGATGAAACGTCTTGTTAGAGCCTACTTCCAAGAAGCCAAGTGGTTCCATGAAAAATACACACCAACACTGGATGAGTACATGCCGGTTGCATTAATTTCATCTGGGTATGAAATGATGGCTGTCACATCCATTGTCGGACTGGGAGATATTGCCACAGAAGATTCTTTTAATTGGTTGTTGAATCAGCCCAAGATTGTCACTGCTTCTGAAGCTATTGCTAGACTGATGGACGACATTGCATCCCATAAGGTATATATATATGTACACGTACTACTGTAAAATGAAAACGAGTCATTCTGAACTACTATTAATTAGTAAATTTATATATGCGTAGTTTGAGCAAAAGAGAGGACATGTAGCTTCAAGCATTGAATGTTACACGATACAATATGGTGGCACAGAAGAAGAAGCAGTGGAGGAACTCCGCAAACTGATTACTGGGGCATGGATGGATATCAATGAAGAATGCCTGCGCCCAACAGCAGTCCCTATGCCTCTCCTGACTTGCATTCTAAATCTTGCACGAGTTATTGAA